AGTTATGCCTGTAACCACAAGATTTTAGAACATCCTGAAGGTAATGCAAACACACACACCTGTCTATATAGATAAGTATTAAATAATTATTTATTAAACTTAAAATGGCTCTTGCTCAGTATTTGTAACTTTCATCTGTATAAGTATGCCAGAATTCAAACATAAAATGAATTCCCTTATATTTAAATCTGCCTGACCGTATGACGGCTTTAAATAATTCATCATGGAAAAGTTAAGTTGCTTTATCTTCAAGATGACACAAAGAACAGCTTTCTCATCTGGTGAATATACAGGTTTGACAGTTGGGAAGCCCCGCTTAGGTGTATTGAACATCATGTTCCCATTGACTCATACTTCTCCACACAGGATGTTTTTCTTATATCTCCCCCTGAAAGTAATTCCAAATAATACGGACTTTCCATTGTGCTTTATCTTCCTGACATTTTATGCTTAAACTAGGCTTGCTCTGTGTAAAGTCAGATAAATTCCTACTAAGTAACGTGTAATTCTAGAGTTTAGAACTTAGTGGCAATTATAATTCTAGGATTTTTGAATATGTGGAATTTCACATGTCACCTATGGAGACTGGAATGATAAAATCATGAAATAAAGTCTACAGAGTATTTTTTTTGTTTTTACAAAGACTTTTTTTTTTTTTTCAAAATAATAAAGAGGACAGCACTTTCTTAAAAAGAAAGAAAGAAAGAAAAAAAGAAAGAAAGAAAGAACGAAAGAAAGAAAGAAAGAAAGAAAGAACAAAAGACATTCCCTAGACCTCTGTAGAGTTCAAAGCTTAAAAGTTAACCAATTGGTAAAAAAAAAAAAATCCAGTGAAATGCACATAACGTTTGGGATAAATGTGAGAATCCATTTCTCTAAGAATATAAGAATATTGTTTCCTCGGAGCCCTCAGAAGGAATGCCTGCACTGGATATCTATAAACACCTATTTAATCTTGGGTCATGTGAGTAACTCAGTGTAAGGAAAATAATTCATAAATAATCTCAGTTATTAAATCATAAATTCAAATAATCAGATTGCTGCACATGCTCAAAGATAATTCATGAGAATCTTTATTCATAAATGAAAAATGTGACGCTCAGAGAAAAAAATGCTTATAAAAATGTGATAGTGTTCTGCAAGAAGAACATTTGAGGCCATGTCCTTTGACTCATAGTACACTGTTACTAATGCTACTATGGCTGAAGGAGTGAGTAGCTGGAAGCAGTGTTTCACCTCTGAAACAATGTAGCTAGAATGACTCTTAGTTCATGCAACTGCCGGTAGACTTGCCCACAAGGCTGCTGGAGTCAGGGCTACTACATCTTGACCTTGAGAACCTCACCACTGTTGTGAAAATTTCTCAGTTGTCTCCATTCATCCATCATTTGTTTCAGGGTACTGGAAAATATAATTAACATGCACATGTCATTGGTATATATTCTAACTAAAAGGCTGTAAGAAGAAAGTGTGTCAGATCCCTAAGAGTTCAGAGGTTCATATATCGGATTGTTCCATGAAAGTAGGGAAGGTGTTTGAGTTCTGCTTAATCAGAAAATGTCAGATGTCTGCAACATATTTCTACTGTGTTAGTCTCAATATTTTATTGTAATTTGTATTTTAATTCTTTCTAACCTGTGCAGGGATCAATTTCTTAAAATAGACCAAATTTTTATATTTGGAGTTCTCTCTCCTCATCGTAAATGAATTTACTTACATAAGTACAGTAGTAATATTTACATTTGTTCTTTCACTCCACAGAGCCTTATTTATTGTTTTATAATTATCATAGTAGAGATTCTAAAGATAAACTTGCAGATTAAAATGCATTTATATATTTTTGGAATGCCAGACAAGATCAATATTATAAAGAACACATTCATTGTATATATCTGTAATGCACTAGAAAAACTACTTTCTTCACCTTCACTCATGAATTATGCTTTGTTAAACAACTTAGCATAAAGGGCAAAGATGTTAATTTCATTTAAAAATCACACCAAATGGTGTGAAAGTATTAAGATAACACCTTTTATATATTCATCAACTTGACTTCTAAGAAGAACAACTAAAGTTTCTTTTTTGAAATCTGTGACTTGAAAATTGTCTGTTGATACATAAAAAGTATATAAAATTATCCAAATAATTTATTAGACTAAAAAATATTAAAATCAATTATTTAAGCCACAAATTTTAGTAGATGAGAAAATTGAGACTCAAAGAAATTAGATGATTCACATGTTTGTACTACAAGTGCATTGTTGGGGGGAAAAGAAGGAAAGAAAACTTGCTTTTTTTCTGACTTTCCAGTGCTCTCATCATGTTGGAGCTACAATGGTATTTTAAAAAAATATGTTAGATTGACTTCTTTAATTTAGTTATATGCATTTACATTTCTTCCATGTCTTTTCATGATTTGATAGCTCATTCCTTTGTGGTGCTGGATAATACTCCATTGTCTGGCATTCCACAGTTTATCCAGTCACCTATTGAGGAAATGCTGGTCACTTTAGGCAATTATGAACCAAGATGCTATTAGTATTCACATGCAGGTTTTTGTGTGGACATACGTTTTCAACTCTTTTGGGTAAATAACAAGAAGCATAATTGCTGGTTGTATGATAAGAGTATGTTTAGTTTTATAAGAAACTGCCAAATTGACTTTCATAGTATTGCTACTTTGCGTCCCACCACTCATGAATGAGAATTCCTGTTGCTTTTCATCCTCATAAGTATTTGGTATTGTCAGTGTTTCAGACAATTACCATTTCTAATAGGTGTGTAGTTGTATCTTATCATTATTTTAATTTGCATTTCCCTGATGGCGTAGGTGGATTATCTTTTCATATTTGCTATCTGTTTATCTTCTATGGAGAGACGTCTGTTAAGATCTTTGGCCAATTAAAAAAAAAAAAGTAAAAATAAATTAAAAATAGACTTTTGGGTCAACTTTAATTTCAGTCAGTGAAATATTTATCTTTTGCTTCCATAAAAAATTGCAAACTTCAAGTTGTATTTACCAGATAATTAAAATTAAATCCTAGTTCTAGCCCAATACAATTCTTGCACAACTGGTAAAAAAGTATAACCATTAACCCTAACTATGGGGAGAGATACTGATAGAGAAAACCACCATATTCTAAGTCTCAGCTGAGATTTTTTTTTTTTTTTTAAGATTTTATATATTTATTTGACAAAGAGAGGTACAGCGAGAGGGGAACACAAGCAGGGAAAGCAGGAGAGGGAGAAGCAGGCTTCCCGCTGAGCCGGGAGCCTGATGTGGGGCTGGATCCCAGGACCCGGGGATCATGACCTGAGCCGAAGGCAGACACTTTAACAACAGAACCACCCAGGTGCCCCCCCCATCTGAGATTTTTTAAAATTCCTGACTTGATATAAATATTTATCTCAGTGTGAAAGAATTATCCTGTGGCTACTTATGTATATTCCGTTTGCTAAATCCTCTTATCATCATGTCATTCACCTTGTAATTCACTCAGATCTACATTTCAGTTTGTGTTGGTGTACAGGAGTGAATTTCATGAAATGAGAAAGTGATTCATCTAAGATTTGTACTAGCTAGAACAGCTATAATCTTGAATACAATTTTTTTTTCTAAATATGTATTAAAACCCACATAGAGGGGTGCCTGCTTGTCTCAGTCAGTTAAGCATCTACTTTCTGCTCAGATCATGATCTTAGTTAGGGTCCTGGGGTCAAGCTCCTCATCAGACTCCCTGCTCAGAGGGGAGCCTCTTCTTCCTCTCTCTCTGTCTCCACTCCCTAATTTGTGCTCTGTCTTTCTCTCTGTAAAATAAATAAAATCTTTAAAAAATAAAGAAAATACACATATAAAAAGTACAGCAAAATTTGCTACACAGTTTCATGTTTTTATAAGCTAATAATTTTAGGGTCAACCTTTTTTTTCTCTTCTCCTGTCTCTTCTCTTCCAGAAATGTTACTAAAGCTTTGCTTTATTGTCAATTATACTAAAATCTAAATCCAATTCCTCAATATTTCTTGTTTAAAAATCAGAGCATCTCCTCCTGCTCTTTTTGCCACCACTCTTTAGTTCCTTTTACTTTTCTTTACATAGCTGTTACAATTACTTGAATGTCACCCCCAATCTTGAAATCCGTTTTGCCTGTATGTGAAGACCACACCTCACAGGCCTCTCAAAGTCCAGTCAAGCTATAATTCAGCCTATTGATGCTCTCTCACTCATATTCAGCTGTGCCAATCTGATCCCCATATATGGAGTTATTTTAAATTGCATACATTTCTTTTCAGTCATCTTTTCTGCTGTGTTTTATTTTCTTCTATTTTATGTACTAAGAAATTCAAGTACCTGCTTCCTTGATCTATGACAATTTTTCAACGCTAAAGAATTTTGAGTATTTTGTTGATGTACAGTGAGTCACATGTAGTATGTAATCCAAGCATAGCATGTGTTGTGAATTTGTATCACATTTAACAAAAAAAAAATAAAAATAAACACAAAAGCAAACAAAATTTACACTTACTATGGAGTGCCTAATAGATCACATATTCTAAGAGATCATATTACACATGTGCAAATACTCATGGTCAGTTTCTGAGCGTTTCTGCATTCCTTAGAGCTACATTTCTGTTTTTTCAAAAGATTTTATATACACACGTATATAAATACACAAATATGCATATATATGTATATATGAACAAATATTCAAATACATAAATTGTTTTAAAATACAAATATATACATATATAGATATAAATAGTAACATATATATGTATTTATATAAATTTGTTTTTAAATATTGAAAACAGCACAGATAAGGAGGTCCTTATAAAAATGTTTGTAGTATGTAGGCTTATGCATGACTACGTGTATGCATGTTTGCATGTATTTCCAAAAGAATTTGTATAGATTCTTATCAGTCTCATACTATAAAATATTATAATTTGCATTCAGAGTGACCATGTTTTTTAATATATATAATTTTCTCTCTTTCCATTAGGTAGAAAATGATTGTCCGTGTTCACTTACTGTGAAGATTTGAAATCAGACAACTACAGCTTTGATTCTCCCAAGTGTTTCAGGATGTAAATGTAGTCTGACCTTTCCCTGATGGGCAGTTAAATCATGGACACGCTAAACAATTTACTTTGGACTGTCCTTTCAAAAGATGCTCTGGCTTCTCTCTTGAATGCGCACTAAGCTTTTGTAACTGACAAGGAAAAGAAAGGAGACTGTGAACTGGAAAGCTATCTTACAATGAAAATTACGAGCACATCTTGCATCTGTCCAGTCCTAGTGTGTCTCTGTTTTGTGCAGAGGTGTTATGGAACTGCTCACCACAGCTCCATCAAGGTGACCAGAAACCAGACCAAACATATTGAAGGTGAAACCGAAGTCCACCACCGTCCCAAAAGGGGATGGGTTTGGAATCAGTTCTTTGTTTTAGAAGAACATATGGGACCAGATCCTCAGTATGTTGGAAAAGTAAGTTTTTCTTATTCTTTTTCCTATTCTAAGAAATTATGGGATAAGACAAGAGTGGCGTTGGGTTGGTTTTGGAAAAGACATGGAAAGTAGAATGAAATATACTACAGAATACTATTTCTTATGCAAAATGGTTTAAAATAATGACTGTAAAAAAAAAAAAAGAGAACTTTAGCAGTCATGTCACCTCTCCCTAAACATCCCTAAACATTAGTTCATCCGTGCTGGACTGGATCTTAGCCGGTATATTACTCTCTACATTCTTTTGTATAAAATGGAAATATTTAATTGAACACACAATTGGGCAATTTTGCCTTTATTACCATAAAGGTATATTGGAATTCACAAAGTCATTTATTGGCACATTGATATTTACAGTTTTTAATCTATTGCTAATGCACATGAAGCAAAAAGAACACACTTTTTCATGACACCTGACTTATTTTTATTAATTGTTACAGAAATTGTATTTGAATTTAAGTCATCTTTTAAAAGCACATGGGTATTTTTTCAATTCCCCAAATTAATTTCCACTCAAATGCTGATATATTTTAAATACACATTGAATATACACAGCAGGTACAGATTTTCTTAACATTCCAAAAGAATAGAGTTGATAAAATAATCAATAACTTCAGACCAGCTTCCTTTTCTCTCAAAAATACAAGACAGTTTAATGGCTTATCAAACCCATTAGGAAATTGTGTGCTCAGTAATAGGGGACAACTTAACCATGTGTCGTATACGCTCCAGGGTAGAGAATAGCATGAGAGGTAGAGAGACCTTCTGATGAATTATGGATCGTGGGAGACAATCACTTAGATTAGTTCAGTACCTCTGGGAGAAACAGTAAGCATGCCAGTAGAATCTCCATGACTTCAGGCTCAGTGAATTCCGTCTCCCTGCTTGACTATTTATTTTCACTTTAGTACTGTTAGTACTTAAAAAAAAAAAAAAAAAAAGTTCTCCATCCAAGCCACGGTGCTTCCCTCACATGCCGGCAGTTCAGGATCACGAACCATCTGCTTTACCCCTCATGCAACAGGGAGGCACTGGGTTGCAGCTGTGTTTTCCATAGCCAGTAGGAGCTGCAGAGTCAGAATGTGGTATATAAAAAAAGATCTGAAACCATTCAGTCATTTTCTTATATGCATATTAAAATGAGACAAAGCAACTCATCTTTATCATTTTCTTTTTATTCCCTGCAAAGTATTCCGCAAAGTAAATGAAAACAAATGTGCTGAAATAAAAATGTAATATATGGAATTACTTGAAAGTTTTTTGCTTGTGAACTTCAAAATACTTTTCTGTAATAATTTATTATCCTTGGAAAGGAGAAAAATAAGAAACAAAATATTTCCTCCCTTTAGGGGTATACCAAAAGGAAAACACATTTTATTTTATATATATATATGTGTGTGTGTATATATATATATATATATATTCTGTTATGTATATTTCTTGTCAGTTAAATCTAAGTGAAAAAAAAATTTGCTCGAAAGGGACAGATTAGACAACCTTCATTTCGTTTTGCGTCATCTCATTTGGTAAATGATGAAGGTAGGTCAATTTCAAACATTCTTTCTGGGCTGGAGTGCTGATGAACATAGGGTTGAAAGCTTGTTACCCACCATGCGGGAGTGGAGGTCTATGACGCTATTCATATTTGTGAAGGTTCTGAAGAAATTGCTATCTGCTCTATTGTTTATAGTAACAGTAGACAAATATAATGGTCATACCCAAGGATGTGGTTCTCTTACTCACTATCGGACCTAATCCACTCACTTGGTCTTTCTCCTCTATTCTAATCTTCCTTTATAGATTCTTTCCACTCACCTCTTACTATATACATGCATAAAAACATCACAGATTTTTAAAAGACTATAAATATATAATTTTATATAAGCTATCACAACTAAAATTTATGCCATCCACCAACCATCCATCATTGGAGTAGACTCATTCCCTTCATGAGATACCAATGATTAGTAAGTGAAAAGCTAGGTTTGAGTTATAGCTTCTCTGCTTATTATCTGTATTACAGTGGGAAGTCTCTTTGATTCTCTGTATTTCTGTGTCCTTAATGGTAAAACTGGGAAATGTTGTTTGGTATTTCTGATACTAATTCAGCTATGAAGGTTAGTTTATGGCTTAGATCGTGGGTCAGTTAAATTATAGTTTGTGTGCCAAATTCAGCCCGTGCACATTTTTGGTACTGCCTACATACTAAACAAGTTTTGGGTTGTTCTCATTTTTAAATTCTTGATTTTTTATAAAAAAATAATTTTTGTGACATATGGAAATTATATGAAATTCAAATTTCAGTTTCCATGACTAATGCGTTTTTTATAATACAGCCACACTTATGCATATATGTATTGTATATGGCTATTTTCAAGCTGCATTGGTAGGATGTAGAGGCGGCCAGAGAAAGCAAGGCACTCCAAGTCTAAAATATTTACTAATGGCATTTGCAGGAAATGTTTGTGAGCTCCTAGTTAGGATGCCTGCCTCACCTAGTATACTGTGGATTCTTTAGAAGCAAGTCCTGGGACTACTTCATCTTAACACTTACAGTATCTATCTCAGTGCCTGCTGTAATGATCTAATGGTAATCCAAGAAAAGTGCTCCCTGAGCTATAAACTTTTGTAGTCATGTTAATAGTTGTGATAATTATTTGAAATTATTGAAACCAAATCTCACTAATAATTGCTTTTATGATGTAGAGAATTTTTGAAAATTTTGAAATTTTCAAATGGAGAGATTTTTGACTTCATCATTTTCACTGGGGTACAATTGCCTCATAGATATTTTAATGAATGTTTATTAACTGTGGTGTTTTAATTTTTATTGTTGTTGTTTCATTCCTATTTCATGCAATTATGTAATGAGTGCTCTTCTACACATATTTAACATATATTATGTCTGTGGTAGAAATTTCCAAAAGTGAGATTCTGATTCAGATAAATAAATCTTTAATTTTGGTAGTATTACTTGATCCCCCTCCATAGGTAATGTAGTATTTTGCACTTCTCTCCCTGATGTAAGAGTGACTATCTTTCGACAGCAATGCCAATAATGGGATTGTAAAACTTGGAATTTTGCAAATATAATAGGTAAAAATAGCATCTTTGTGTATTTTTAGTGTATATTTCTCCTATAATGAGTGAAATTCATATTTGAGAGATACAATTTTTTTTTACTAACTGTCCATGTCCTTTGATAATAAATTCTTTTGTTAGACTCTTTGACTTATCAATAATAATAGTTCTTTATATAGTAAGTATACTATCTTGCCAATGATATAAGTAAGTGATGAATAGTTTTTTCACAGTTGACATTTGTCTTTGGACTTTGTTTATAATTTCTGCTTTATAAAAATTTATTATTTTAACATAGGAATTCCTAGTATTTTTTTGTTTTTTTTTTTTCTCCCAGTGTTTTCTTTTTTGACATATAACTAACATACAGTGTTACATTAGTTTCAGTTGTAGAGTGTAATGATTCAGTGGTTCTCTGCGTTACTCAGTGCTCATGATGACAAGAGAACTGTCAATACCCTTTATTTGACACATCCCCTCTTCCACCTCTCCTCTGGCAACTACCAGTCTGTTCTTTGTATTTAATTGTTCCTTGATCTCTTTTTTGTTTGTTTTGTTTTTTAAATTCCATATATGAGTGAAATCATTTGGTATTTGTCTTTCTCTGTTATATTTATTTCACTTACGTTGCATCGTTGCATCGTCTAGGTCCACCCAAGTTGTTGTGGATGGCAAGAGCTCATTCTTTTTTATGACTGAATCATATTCCTTCATATGTGTGTGTGTGCGCACACACATACACACACACACACACACACTGCATCTTCCTTACCCATTTATCCATCAGCCACTTGAAATGTTTCCATATCCTTGTTATTGTGAATGATGCTGACTAAACATAAGGGTGCATATATCTTTTTGAATTAGTGTTTTGTTTTCTTTGGGTAATACCCATGTGTGCAATTACTGGATCATATGATAATTCTATTTTTAATTTTTTTAGGAAACTCCATACTCTTTTCTACAGTGACAGCATCAGTTTACACCTCTACCAATAGGGCAAGAAGGTTTCTTTTTCTTCAAATCCTTGCCAAGGCTTGCTATTATTTTTCTTTTTGATTCCAGCCACTCTGACAGAGTTAAGGCAATATTTCATTTCACCTGGCAGAATGGCTAGGATCAGAAAGACAAGAAAGTCCTAGCATTCTTTGACTAAACCATATTTTTTTAAAAGATTTTATTTATTTATTAATTTGAGATAGTGAGTGAGAGAGCATGGGGGGGATGGGCAGATGGAGGGAGAGAAGCAGACTCCCCACTGAGCAAGAAGCCCGGCATGAGGCTCCATCCTAGAATGCCCGGATCATGATGGGAGCCAAAGGCAGACACTCAACTCACTGAGCCACCCAGGCTCTCCTTGACTGAACCATATTTGTATTTGACCTGGAATCTTTTGAAATGTGAGGCCATTGGTGTTCAGAATTAGTGACACAAGATAAAAATAACATTCTTCAGGCCTTAACATATATAGTTTGTCACATATATTAGGATATATTACTTATCAAATAAAAAATGGTGTGAAAGTGGGAATGCTTATGTTAGAGACCATAAATTACAGCTTAGAATACAGTTGAATTTCTGTTTTTTAGCTACTTGTTATTAGCTGTTTTCCATGTCTCATGTTTCCTAATAGATTATACCCTAGATGCGCAGGTTGTCATTGCAAAGTATATTGACTCTAACTAGTTCATGTTGCAAATATTTAAACATATGTATTGGTAGAATTTACCTAAAAATATACATTGCAAATAATGTCTGTTAATCCACAACTGCTGGCAATAGGCTTCATATATTTCCAGTGGTAACTCCTTATGATTAGCTATCTGCTTTGTTCCATAAATATGTATTATTTTCATTTGAATAATATCATAGAAGATTACTTCTTTAACTAGCCAGGC